AGGAATCAAAAAAGGAATTAATAAATTTTCTTTTTTAACTCTAATTGAAGGATTCAGATTATTATTTATTAACAGAAATAACCAACAATCATCAGTTTTTTGTTTAAATATCTGATATTTATTACTAGATGCTAAAAATACAACATCTCGTTAATCATTAAATAAATCTTTTTCTAATAAACCTTTATATATATTTTTATCAAAAATATCTTCTAAATCTTCAAATTCAATCTCCTTATTAATAATATATCAATACCTATAAAGTAATTTTTTAGCTCTTATTTTATTATTATATTGAATCTTCAATCTCTTTTTAATAGAAAAATATAGCATTACTTTTTTAGATTTATTTTTTGAATCATATCTCAATAAATTACATAATGGATAACTTTGATAAGTTTCATAAATTCTAGTATAATATATACAGGAATTTTTACACATATTATAAATTTTGAAATAAGTCATGTAATTTCTTCTAATATTTTTTTAATCTTATATAAACTAATATTTTTATTGACAAATAATTTGATAATATCATTATATACTACTTCTATAAAATTATATAATGATTTTAAATGTAAAAGTTTAAGATCTTCTATAGTTTCTTTACTTAATCCTTCTTTAATATCAACTTGCATCATATTATCTATATTTTCATCTTTATTTTTATTATAATTATAATTATTTTCTTCATCAGTTTCATCAATATTATAATCTTCATTATCTTCTTCTGAAATTTTCTCATTTGTAGATAAATATTCTATTTCATTTACATTTGCTTCATCTATTTGAATATCAATTTCATTTATATTATCTAAATCCTTTAAATTTTATTAATTAATAAATAAATATTAAGTAAATTATAATTTATAATACTTATTTTATTATTTTTTAAATTTAAATTTATATCTTTTTCTTCAACATTTTCTTTTTATTCATTATTGTTTGATTCCTTTTCTATTGACATCTGATTTCTTTTCTGATGTCTATAATAAACACTTTTTGTTATAAAATTACCATTTGAATAATTTTTTAAACAAAATAAACATTTGCATAAATGTAAATTTTCGCTTATTTTATAATATAATTAATTAAAAAATTAAAAAATATTTTGCAGTTATGAATGAAAATAATTAAAAAATTGTTTTGCAGATAAAAATGAATAATATATAAGTAATAAATTACGATATACCATATTCCTCTGAAATAGACACTCCCTGAAAATAAGCACTATCTTATTTTTTTAGTATCTGAAAATAAGCATTATCACATTTTAGCATCCAAAATAAAATAAATGCTAAAACAAACCTGATTTATTAAAAATTTTATAAAATTCAATGTTTTTTTTTAAAAGAATCATTACTATCAATATTTTTTTTATCATTATTAATGATCGCTATCACTATTACTGCTACTATTATTATCGCTATTACCATTATTGTTCACCACTAACACATCCAAAATTATTATTAAATTATATTCACTTTCGTGAAACTTTATTTTAATAGATTCTTTTATATGACCTTTAAATGAAACGTGTTATAAATATAAAATATTTATATTAGTTTTTTTATCGAAAATGATTATCGCAATCTTTTTTTCTTTATTTCTGTATTTTTTTCTTTTCACATTCTTTAACATGACTAAAAAGAAAGAGCTTACAATTATTGAACGTGAAATAATTATCAGTCTTCATAAAGCTGGTAAATCTGAGAGAGTTATAGTTAAAAAATGGGCCATTCAAAGTCAGCTATCTATTATATTATTAAAAAAATACAATAAATAGGTCTTCTTACTAATGTTTCAAAAGTGAGCGACCTAGAAAATTGACAGAACGTGATAAACAGCATTTAAAGATTATTGTTAATAAAGAAAGGCGTGAATCGACACAAAAACTACAAGAAATTTTTGTAAATTCAACTGGAAATATAGTGAGTAAGAATACCATACGATGTGCACTTTATTAAATAGGATACTATAGCCAGATTGCTCTTCGAAAGTCTTATATCAGTGAATCAAACAGATGTTTTTTATTAAAGTAGTCTTGAGAAAGACGTTTGTGAACAATCAATGACTGGAAAAAAGTTATCTGAAGCAATAAATCTAGATTTACACTATTTAGAAATGATGGAAAAATTCAAGTTTGGCGTCTTTCAAAGGAAAAATACGATGTTAATTGCTTAGTTTCAACTGTAAAGCATGATGGAGGAGGTATTATAATGTGAAGTTATTTCTTATGGTATGGAATGAGTTCCTTAGTAAGAATTGATGGTCAAGTTAACAGTAAAAGATACATATAAAAAATACTTGGTTATTATTTGATACTATTTTTAGAGGAATTTGAGAAGGAATATGGGGAGTATTTTTTTTAACAAGATAATGCACTGATCCATATAAGTAGGCAAACACAAACTTTTATTGAAGACAATACTATTACTCTTTTATCATGACCGAGACAAAGCCTCGACCTTAATCTCATTGAATATATTTGGGATGAACTTGAACGTAATGTTCGATTAAGAAAAAAAAACCTCAAAACATGGTTGAATTAGAAGCATTTTTATAGGAATCATGGTCACAAATCTCTAGTAATGTTTATCAAAAACTGGTTGGTAGTAAGGAAGATCAGGTAAGAGTTGTTTTAAAGTCAGGTGGCTTTTTAACTAAATATTAAAGGATAGTTTAAATAAAATTTTATATAGGTAAACTTAAAAAAATTAAATATTTTTTTAATTTTTTTATGTTTTTTTATGTTTTTAATGAAAAATTTCTCCTATATTCTAGTTTATGAATTAGATTATATTTTGAAAATTTTTTTTTTGAAATGTTATATATAACTTATATTTTAAATAAATATAATTTTAAATTTTTACGTTTATATAATTTTTTTAAAAAAATAATTTTAAATTTTATTTAATTTAATTAAAAATAATACTTAAAAAATACAATATATTAAATTAAATTATTTTCGGTTAAATACATATATAAAATATTAAATAATGTTTATTATTTGAAAAAAATATTATATTATTTATTTACAATTTTTATTAGATTCAAATAGAAAAAAAAATTGATTTTTTTTTAAAAATTTTTAAGTGGTCTAATACTTTTGGGTAGGAAGTATATAGAAGGCGATCAAAATTATCTGGCCACTATTTAAAACATAAAAACTTTATATGTATTATATATTAAAAATTAAAATTTAAGATAAATATATTTATCTTATCTTTATTTATTAATTTTTACATAAAAAAATTAAATTATTAATAATTAATACTATTTTCATTTGCAACAATAACTATCTCAATTCTCCGAGACATACTTTTGATCAATTTTTTGTAATATTCTGGCAGAAGATCCTTTCACGTATTTTTAACATACTTTTCAAGTTCTTGGATGTTAGATGGTGGTGTAATATGACAATGAACTATTACTTTCATTTCTATCTAGAGGTTCTCAATTAGGTTCAAATCAGGACTTTGTGCAGGTCAATCCATTTTCACAATTTTAGCATTTTCATGGGCAGAAACAGTAACTTTTGAATGATGTGGTGGAGCATTATTCTCCTGAAAAATTTCATTACCTTGTGGAAAATACTTATACAAGGTAGGTACAACATATTTATTAATAACCTTAGCATGTGTTTGACCAGTAACTGAGCCTTTTAATGGAACAATTGGTCTAAGGCTATGCCAAGAAAAGCACCTCCAAAACATTTTACTAGGACTATGTTTTACAGTAACTGTAATACAGTCTGGGTTTAATTCTTCTTCAGGTTCACGCTATACCTTTTCTTGACGACCTTGTTAAAATTGTATAAAGTACTTTCATCTGAAAATGTACTTTTTTCCATTTTTTTTTCTCTCTAATTTTTGTGTGTATGAGCCTATTCGAGACAAGCCTGATGATGTACTTCTGTCATTATGGGTTTTTTACAAAGTATGCAAGATGTAAGCCCAACTTTCTTAAGATTTTAGCTAATGATGAGGGACGAAACCCCTTAATAACAGTCAAAACTTAGATGAAACTATATTAAAATAATAATAAGGGATACGACGAAACCCTTTCGATACGACGAAAGCCGAAACTGTCAAAACTATATTAAAAACATAGAAAAGGATATGACGAAATTATTTTGAGAAGGTTTCAGCAGGCATCTATAATTTTAGCATATAGTAACAGCAGAAATAGGCTGTTTTGTATGAGCTGTCCAAACTGTTGCAAGTTTTTTGAACAAAGTCGACGATTTTCACTATTTTCTTAAACAAAGACTTTAAGTTCTTATTGAGCTGGTAAATTAAGAAGTGATGAACGGCCAGTTTGTTTTTTTAGAGTTAAAGAATGTGTTTCATGAAGGCGTTTAAGAATATCATTAATAGTTGTTTTTTCACACCCCAACCGTTTAGCTATTGTGTGACTTGATTATTCACAATTATGGCCATAAATGATTACGCTACGAGTTTTTGGGGTAAGTGGCTTCATATTTCTGAAAATTTTGAGAAAAATGAAGTGCAAGAATTTGTTTATTGTAATGGTAAATACAAAATTATATATTGTTTATATTATATTAATACATGATGATCAGCATAATTTTGGCCAAACAAACTGGCTGGATAATTTTGATCACTCTCTGTATAATTATATTTTTATTCGATAAAAATATTTTGAGTTTAGTTATATCAAATTGGTAACATAATTTCATTTAAAATATTAATATTTATAAGAGTTTTCCAAAATTCAAAAAAAATATTTATTTATTTATTAGATAATAATTAAAAAATAAATTTTTTTTTGAAACCTATAAAAAAAATGTATTTTCAAAAAGAAAAAATTTTTTGACCCTTCTATCAAAAAATTTTTAGAAAAAAATTTTTTTTGACCTTTTTATTAAAAAAATATTTTTCTAAATGAAAAAAAAAAAATTTTTTTTGATTCTCCCATCAAAAAAATTTACATATTAAAAATTATTTAAAAAAAATTAATTTGGCAAATAAAAAATTAAGCTGTAAAATATTGGTAGTAATATAGTAAAAAAAAATAAAATAATATTAAAATTAAAATAAAAAATAAAAGCTGCAAATAATAGCTTTTTTTTTGCTTTAACATTGATTTTTGGTGATAGTGATAATAGCATTGGCATTAACTTTGGCTTTGATGATAACATTAGCCTTTTTTTTAGCTTTAACATTGGCATTAGCTTTAACTTTAATGCTGGTATATTTGATGCTAGTAGTAGCATTTAACATTGGCTTTGGTAGTGATATTGACTTTTTTTTAATTTTGACATTTGGCATTGACATTGGCATTAGTAGTAGTACTAACGCTGACATTAGCTTTGGTACTGGTGGTGACATTTGATATTAGTTTTGGTGGTAACATCAGCTTATTTTTTTAGCTTTAGCATTTAGCATTGGTATTAGTATTGGCGGTAATGCTAGCATTAGCTTTGACTTTAGCTTTTTTTTGGCATTGGTATTATCATTGGCAATAATGCTAATGCTAGTATTAGCTTTGATATTAGTAATAGTATTTAATATTAGCTTTAGCAGTGATATTGGCTTTTTTTTTTAGCTTTGGCAATTAGCATTGGCATTGATACTAATAGTGATACTGATGCTAGTGCTAGTTTTAGTGGTAGTGATGACATTTTTTTTTTTTTTTGACTTTTAACGATGTGGTACTGCCACAAGTTTATTAATAAGATTTATAGTTCTAAATGCACTAACTATGTAAAACAAAGTAAAAAGATATAAATAAGAAATCTAAACTAAATTGCAGCTACCCCCGTGACTCTGTTTCAAGCCCGTTTGAGCTAACCAATCACTGACTTTCCCTTCCAAGAAGTCCACTAAAACCATTTCTAATGAACAACTTGTTAACGAGAAAAGCAAATAAAATTGTCAATATCACAACGCTATTCCTTTAACTAACCACTAATCCCCTAACTAAAAACAAAAAAATTCACACCCTCCAGAACATACGAACCCGAGATTAGTTTCTGAAAAAAGAAAGGTTAAAAAAGACAACCAACTCCAACAAATTCCTAGCTAAAATGCCTGGTTAATTCCAAGTTACAGCGACCTCCCACAACAGGAGCGCCCAAAATACTAAGTCTCGTCAGAGGCTCTTCAGATATCTCAAACTTCCATGTTGATATGTCTGTCAATTCAGATTACAGCCGCCGGCAAAAGCACAGAGCCCAAAACACATAGTTGCGAGAATCGGAAAATTCCGCTAAGATTAGCGGACTCTATGACGTCAGAAAATCTTTAAAAGAATGTTGTTGTTTATGAAGGTAATTGGATAGTCATTACGTGAGATTTGTTTATACCCAAAGATATGTTGATCCTGATCGTCATTTCAGATACCCCTTGATGCCCACTTTTTGTAGGCAAAAAGAAAAAGGAAAATAAACAAGAAAAATATTCAAGAAAAGTGGCAAAAAAATATTTTAACA